GCAGACTGAACCTGCAGACTGAACCTGCAGACTGAACCTGCAGAATGAACCTACAGACTGAACCTACAGACTGAATCTACAGACTGAACCTACAGACTGAACCTACAGACTAAACCTACAGACTAAACCTGCAGAATGAACCTAGAAACTGAACCTAGAGACTGAACCTACAGACTGAATCTACAGACTGGACCTGCAGACTAAACCTGCAGACTAAACCTGCAGAATGAACCTAGAAACTGAACCTAGAGACTGAACCTACAGACTGAATCTACAGACTAAACCTGCAGACTAAACCTGCAGAATGAACCTGCAGAATGAACCTACAGACTGAATCTACAGACTGAACCTACAGACTGAACCTACAGACTTAACCTGCAGACCGAACCTGCAGACCGAACCTGCAGACCGAACCTGCAGACCGAACCTGCAGACCGAACCTACAGACCGAACCTACAGACCGAACCTACAGACCGAACCTACAGACTGAATCTACAGACTGAACCTACAGACTGAACCTACAGACTGAACCTGCAGACCGAACCTACAGACTGAACCTACTGAACAGACTGAACCTACAGACTGAACCTGCAGAATGAACCTACAGACTGAACCTAGAGACTGAACCTACAGACTGAACCTACAGACTGAACCTACAGACTGAACCTACAGACTGAACCTACTGAACAGACTGAACCTACAGACTGAACCTACAGACTGAACCTGCAGAATGAACCTAGAGACTGAACCTACAGACTGAATCTACAGACTGAACCTACAGACTGAACCTGCAGACCGAACCTACAGACTGAACCTACTGAACAGACTGAACCTACAGACTGAACCTGCAGACCGAACCTACTGAACAGACTGAACCTACAGACTGAACCTACAGACTGAACCTGCTGTTAGAATGCTGAACTGCTGATTAGGACATATACAGTACTACACCCAAGACTGTGTGGCAATGTTTCAACCTTAGTTTTGATTATTTGTCATTCCTACACAGTCACTTTTACCAAACTGGTATTAACCACTGGTTGCTGCTTACAGCCAGTGAGAGACTATTCTACAGCTAGACATCTTGGGCAGTGTGTGTGTTTGTGGGGTTGCTTAATTGACGTTTGTTTGTGTGTGTTTTTAAAGGTTTGTGTTGACCCTGAAGAAACACGCCTTTATTTTGCCTGCACTTGTTGTTGGACAGCAAATTTTAGTTTGTTTTAGTTTGAGTTTAACCCTTTAATGACCTCTTCTCATCAACATGATCAATACTTGCCATAATTTCAAAGTGCTATCGACAAAACTCTTTTTTTTGTCTAAAATTAACATTGTTGTTAACAAAAAGTTGCCAAAAACACCCAATGTATCAAATGTGATACAAAAAATATATAATAAAACATATCATACACAACATGATATAGCAAAACAAAGTGGATTTTGTTATAAGGGTTATTAAACATCTCAGTTCTTTGATGGGTTGGGTCTCACAGGGTTAATTTCCAGATTATTTGTGTAAGTTTCATGACTCTAAAGTTGTCTTGGAAGGTTGTGACACTGTGTTCACAAAATCTGTATAAAGGTCTGAGACACAGCACTGAAAACAAGCTTTGCTGTAGTTCGACAGCTCAGCCACTTGATTGTGGTTTGTAATAGACTTATTTTCACACAGTCAATTGACACTGTCACCAAGTGGCAACACTGTAACACAGCAGTTCATTTCCTGTGTATGTAAAGAATTTCAGCATATGTAACTGTAACTAATGTGTTCCTCCCTTTTCTCTCTCACTGTAGGCACTTCCTCTTTAAAACAGGCACAGGCACTACCCCCCTCTTCTCCACAGCTACTCCTGGCTACACTATGGCAACAGGCTCAGTGTACTCCCCTCCTACCAGGCCGTTACCTAGGAATACTCTATCCCGCTCAGCCTTCAAGTTCAAGAAATCGTCCAAGTACTGCTCATGGAGGTAAAATGAATTTTCACCTTATTGTCCATCAGTAAGAAAGAGTACCTGCAAGCACACGCTTTGACTTTACTCAGAGTTTCAGGAGTTTGGGAAGATGCTGGCAAACAAGCTCGAGTTAGACCACTCCTGGGCCAATTTGGCTACCGGGTATGTTCTTCAGATGAGTGGGAAAAACACACAGCACACTTTGCATCCTGTCTCTTTCAAGAACTTTCCCAGAGAGCACAGAGAGAGGCTGTTCTCCCAGATCCACACAACTGAAGTGATATCCACATATTTGATAACACTATGCTGATTTTGACTGATGCTTCAGCGATGTTGTGAAATTCATGCCATTATTTCCCAGTGTGAAAAAGAATCAGAATCATCGTTTTATATGACGTTCAACTTTATTTTAGAAATTAAACGACGTCTTTTTGTCTTTTGACTCTTTTTGCTGCTCAGCTTCCTTTCCTTTCTCCTAACTGTGACTTTAATCTTAATCTTTTCCATTTTTACTGTTTTAGTTTAGCGGCCCTGTAATGTAGAGAACTTCCTTTTTCCATGTGTTAGAGAAGAAAAGGTTTTCTCTTTTGTCCTCATAGAGATCACATTGGATCAGTTTTTGGTTCACTTGATAAATTAAAACAAAATATATTTGTGTCGACAAATAAATGCAAAATATAAAACTGTGTAAAGTGCACGGCAGTCATTTTATTCACAGAAAGAGAGTTCATAGATATTTTGTTGTACTTGATAAGCATCAAGTTTATCTTTTATATGCTTTTTTTCAGTAGAGTAGATGTTTATTTAAATAGAATCAAAGAAAGTGGATCTATAAAACCATCAGCACGAGTGTGGAGCTCTCAGGTTCGAGGTAAACGATTGAAACAACTACAACAGGAGTGACAAGATATGCTGAGCAGAGAATTCATGAATGCTTTCATGTGTTGAGACTTTAAAGTAGAATCTAGAGAACAGCTGACTCTGCTATTTGTTTGCCTACCACAGATTTGTGGCTTATTGTAATGCCTTGATAACTATTTATATCCTTTAACTCTCCTTTTGCAAGTTCCACACAACCAGAAACACTCGGTGCAGGGCGAAACTCTGATCAGATGTTATTTCCATAGACA